CACAGAAATCACCGGCAAACAAAATCAAAACGAAAACAAACATTCGACATTGACACAGGGCACAGGGCTACTAAGAAAGTAACAAATTACAGTAATCTAGATCCGCCATTCCATTCCACCGGCCGACTCCAGCCCTTTGCTTGTTTCTTGCAGTGTTGGCTGTTACTCTTCCCCTTGTGTGTTCGTGTTCCGACTTTGAAACACTACGTCACTACCACTACCTACAACCATAGATAAAACATACTCCTTGAGGAGTATCTTTTATCTATGCTACAATCGATTTGTTACCAAAACCTAGGGAAAAAGTAGTATGATCAATGTGTTATCAATACCTTGCAAAATTAGCCAAAATAGGTCCTTAACGTTGTTGAAATACAGCCATAATGTATTATTTTATCAATATTTCAATTTTATAATGTCAAAGGCCTGAAATCCCTAGAAAATCTAAAAAAATCCTTCAATTTCGCTGATTATCCCTAGTTATCCCTCAATCCCTTTTCAATCCCTCGAAGGCCCTAAATATCCCTAGAAAGGGATTTTTATCCCTCAAATGGAAACACTGCTGCCAAGCGTAGACAACCCTGACAATCGCTCTCTCTCCCTCCATCACACTCTTTCTCCCACCACCACCGTTGACAAATCTCCGCACCAAGAGGTGGCCGAAGGCATCCCCCCATCTACCTGACAACCGTTGGCAAAACTCCGGTTCCCAATCCGAACTACCTCCGGTCCCAATTAGTTCGGATTAAAGAGGTTCTTACATATTTTTGGTCGACCACTGGACGACCATTAGTTTGATTTAATTTGCACAGTTATTTTCGAAAAGGAACATGGCAATTCTGAAGCAAGTTTTTGTGGAACATTTTGTATCATTATCAGCTTGTCCGTTTCACAGTTATTTTGAATTTCAATAAGGCCATAAGAATGTTAACTTCAATCACTAGAAGATCAATGTAAGAGTTGTTTTATCTACTTGTTTGTTAAGGTTTGTTGTTTTAAATCTACTGTAGTTTTATTTAATAGGCTTTAGTGGAACAACAGTGATTATATTATAAGCTACCAGTTACATTCCCTCATCTTGAGGCAGAGTGATGTATTTGTATTTGTGTAATGAGAATGTATTCTACAAGTACATGCACGTTGTGCATGTGCGACTTTCATACTTTAAATGTATTTTCAATAGTGAACAATTAATTGTACTGACTCAACTACTGTTCCTTACGTCTCAACGATGACTCATTCTCTTCTTCCTCGCCCACCCGGCCACTCCAAGAGCGCAGTTTTCCGCTACAATTGACTTCTACTTCTACATGATACCCTGATAGATTTCGTTCATAGTTCACAAGTGTCGTCCTCGTCTGGAGGGGAGATATAGAACGGAACAATCGATTGAGCGATGTAGGCCAGCCTCGGTCCAGATGTAAATGACTGGAACTGCTTGTCTGTGATGCTCCTCTCGATTGTTGTATGGATTATTACCATATCGTGGCTTAGAAAGCTCAAAAGCTCACAGTGAATAACATAGGTCGCGTTATGGACCCGAAGTGACACACGTCTCTGTACTATGTGAGGTGATTGTATGATTATATACATGCGTCTCTGTAATGTGAGGTGATTGTATGATTGTATACACACGTCGCTGTACTATGTGAGATGATTGTATGATTGTATACACGCGTCTCTGTACTATGTGAGGTGATTGTATGATTGTATACACGCGTCTCTGTACTATGTGAGGTGATTGTATGATTGTATACACGCGTCTCTGTACTATGTGAGGTGATTGTATGATTGTATACACACGTCGCTGTACTATGTGAGATGATTGTACGATTCTGTACTATGTGAGGTGATTGTATGATTGTATACACGCGTCTCTGTACTATGTGAGGTGATTGTATGATTGTATACACGCGTCTCTGTACTATGTGAGGTGATTGTATGATTGTATACACACGTCGCTGTACTATGTGAGATGATTGTATGATTGTATACACGCGTCTCTGTACTATGTGAGGTGATTGTATGATTGTATACACGCATCTGTGTACTATGTGAGGTGATTGTATGATTGTATACACACGTCGCTGTACTATGTGAGATGATTGTATGATTGTATACACACGTCGCTGTACTATGTGAGATGATTGTATGATTGTATACACGCGTCTCTGTACTATGTGAGGTGATTGTATGATTGTATACACGCGTCTCTGTACTATGTGAGGTGATTGTATGATTGTATACACGCGTCTCTGTACTATGTGAGGTGATTGTATGATTATATACACACGTCGCTGTACTATGTGAGATGATTGTACGATTGTATACACGCGTCTCTGTAATGTGAGGTGATTGTATGATTGTATACACACGTCGCTGTACTATGTGAGATGATTGTATGATTGTATACACGCGTCTCTGTACTATGTGAGGTGATTGTATGATTGTATACACACGTCGCTGTACTATGTGAGATGATTGTATGATTGTATACACGCGTCTCTGTACTATGTGAGGTGATTGTATGATTGTATACACGCATCTGTGTACTATGTGAGATGATTGTATGATTGTATACACGCGTCTCTGTACTATGTGAGGTGATTGTATGATTGTATACACGCGTCTCTGTACTATGTGAGGTGATTGTATGATTGTATACACGCGTCTCTGTACTATGTGAGGTGATTGTATGATTGTATACACACGTCGCTGTACTATGTGAGATGATTGTACGATTGTATACACGCGTCTCTGTAATGTGAGGTGATTGTATGATTGTATACACACGTCGCTGTACTATGTGAGATGATTGTATGATTGTATACACGCGTCTCTGTACTATGTGAGGTGATTGTATGATTGTATACACGCGTCTCTGTACTATGTGAGGTGATTGTTTGATTGTATACACGCGTCTCTGTACTATGTGAGGTGATTGTATGATTGTATACACACGTCGCTGTACTATGTGAGATGATTGTACGATTCTGTACTATGTGAGGTGATTGTATGATTGTATACACGCGTCTCTGTACTATGTGAGGTGATTGTATGATTGTATACACGCGTCTCTGTACTATGTGAGGTGATTGTATGATTGTATACACACGTCGCTGTACTATGTGAGATGATTGTATGATTGTATACACGCGTCTCTGTACTATGTGAGGTGATTGTATGATTGTATACACGCATCTGTGTACTATGTGAGGTGATTGTATGATTGTATACACACGTCGCTGTACTATGTGAGATGATTGTATGATTGTATACACACGTCGCTGTACTATGTGAGATGATTGTATGATTGTATACACGCGTCTCTGTACTATGTGAGGTGATTGTATGATTGTATACACGCGTCTCTGTACTATGTGAGGTGATTGTAAGATTGTATACACGCGTCTCTGTACTATGTGAGGTGATTGTATGATTGTATACACACGTCGCTGTACTATGTGAGATGATTGTACGATTGTATACAAGCGTCTCTGTAATGTGAGGTGATTGTATGATTGTATACACACGTCGCTGTACTATGTGAGATGATTGTATGATTGTATACACGCGTCTCTGTACTATGTGAGGTGATTGTATGATTGTATACACACGTCGCTGTACTATGTGAGATGATTGTATGATTGTATACACGCGTCTCTGTACTATGTGAGGTGATTGTATGATTGTATACACGCATCTGTGTACTATGTGAGGTGATTGTATGATTGTATACACACGTCGCTGTACTATGTGAGATGATTGTATGATTGTATACACGCGTCTCTGTAATGTGAGGTGATTGTATGATTGTATACACGCGTCTCTGTACTATGTGAGGTGATTGTATGATTGTATACACACGTCGCTGTACTATGTGAGATGATTGTATGATTGTATACACGCGTCTCTGTACTATGTGAGGTGATTGTATGATTGTATACACGCATCTGTGTACTATGTGAGGTGATTGTATGATTGTATACACACGTCGCTGTACTATGTGAGATGATTGTATGATTGTATACACGCGTCTCTGTAATGTGAGGTGATTGTATGATTGTATACACGCGTCTCTGTACTATGTGGGGTGATTGTATGATTGTAACATTATTTCTTAGGGGTCTATATATTATTTCATATGTACCACATTTCTCGATGCTTTGATTGATTGCTTTGTGATATTTCAATGTAAATTCTTCATATGTCTTCATATGTTGATATTATAACGACGATATTTTAACCTATTATCGTCTTATGCATAGTTTAGATGCAAAATAACTTATTTACTAAAGGAATAACGGTAAGATTGTTACTTATTTATTTATTGTTATTTGTTCAAAAGAATTGCGTTTTGAAGCTTTTGTGGCCTGGATGTTTGTTTGGAAGAAGAAGAACATGCCTGGTAAAAACTACACATTATTTTATCACTGTGTTTTAGTCTGGACGGTTTCTATAAAGGAGACTTTAACGAACGAAATAAATGATCAACTAACTAGTTTATTGAGCTGTGAATGTCCAAGAAAAAAAATAGGCAAGTCAATAAGGAAGTATCCCTAAGAGAGATTAGAAATATGCTCACTTGCTACATAGTATATAATGCCCTGATGAGACAGGATTAGAAGAATTGTTCAATATGAAAGGACCTATGCATATATAACTTAAATTTATGAGCAGTTTATTAGTGTCATTGGAAGAAATAGCGGAATAGTTTTGGTAGTAGACACTATTTTAAATGGAAATGAAGTGAAATGAAATTAACATCCTATATTTCAACAGGCAAAGTTAGGGCCCCATGGCCATTCATTACACTTAACCTGTTAATGTAGTGTGGGTTAAGAAAAAATTACTTTTTAAAACAGAAATGTCGTGTTTTACTGCTCCAGTGGTGTTTATATAGAGCGAGAGGAGCGGGGGCGGAGCGGGAAGCGAGGCAGTGACCTAGAAGCTGGCGAGGAGAGCCCCAGCCAAGACAGTCAGTGCGGCGACGACTACGGAACATGTACCACGGCAAGTACAGTCAGGAGACGAGAGTGCGGGACAGCACTGCAGTGCAGTGGTGGCTGACAGCCGGCTGTTGTGGGCTGATAGTTACTATGGCATTCGTGGCCTTCACACTGTGGCTGGGCATGGAGGGGCCGAGGAAAGTCGAACCGACCAGTGCGGACTTTGGATACAACCGACCACCCCCAGTGTACCGGCGAGCCGAGGATCCCAGGAACGTAGTGAGGCCCAGTAGAGGCAAAGTGGAGAAGGTGCACAAGGACGAAGAAGAGGTCGAGGAGAAGAAACCGACACATTTGAAACTACCGATACCACAGGCTCCAGTGCTTCACAGAGACGAGGAGGAGATAAGGAACTACCAGGGAACACTCGACCACGGCGAGGAGCTGATGCGAGAGACTGGAGTCAAAGACAGTAGCATAAAGAAGAAAAGCGAGGCGGTTTACCCTTCAGGTTATGATCCTGAATTTTACTTGCCCCCTCGTGTGATTAACCCTATTAATGCCAGAAGAGAAGAAAGCCCCAACCATTTTGTGCACTACGCAAAACCCGAAATACCTCCGTTTACGTATATTAAAGCTACCGAAGGCGGTATAGAAGAGCGAATAGACAACGCGGTGAACAACTACTTCTCTTACCCCTCAGAGGGAGACACGGAATCTGAAAGTTCTCTTGGGGGATTTTTACGTCAGAGATTGATGGACGTCAAGGACTGGCTGATGACACGTGGGGATCAAAACGCAAATTCTGAATGGGTTCAAGTAATTTCGGCATTTAATCAATCAATCGCTCAAAGGAATCTCACATCAATCATGAGTAAACTGAAGGATCTGTACAACTCTACGGACGTCGCGGATGTACCGGTATCGTCAATTCTCTACCCGGACTCACAGAACGGTTCCAGTATTTTATCTTTTGGTTTGTTAGCGGTAGACTTGTTCCTGCTACACAACGTACAGCAGATTGCGTGGAACGAGGAGGCGCAACTCGGAGATCAGATGTTGGACGACCCGGAGGTGGTGGCTATGAACGCGTTGTTCTTGTCTCCGGACCGCGTCAAGCAGCTACGACAAAAGGGCTCCAGGCTGCTAAAGGCGGAGGTGGAGGAGACCAATAAGAGTTCGCTGACGGAGGCCTTGGAGTTCGTCAACAGTATGCTGAGGGCGATCCTGAACCTCAACAAAGCCTACCGCAGCAGCACGGCCGCGAACAGGTCAAGGGGTACGGGGCCTAGCACCATGGACTGCATCTGGACACTGTACTGCAGAAATCTCGACAAGACTGCCAGGCTGCACGGACCTTACGGCTTCCTGGCAAAGATGAACAGGTAGTTTGTACATCGATATAAGATCAAATAATAACACTTTAGTCTCCTGTCTAACATTACGGTCACAACCGGCTGTGGCCTATTAGGTGATTTTTAACAATGATGTTTAGACTCAATAATTTACCAGGTGCAGCTGTGTGGTATAAGCTAAAATTAAAATAACGAGATTGTGATCGGTGAACATTGTTTCTAATAATATGTATGACCTGGTGCTTAAAGATAAATCAACCTGATTGCCCATCTTGCATTGAAAGGCGATTATCATCTAAATTGCAAATATTTGCAACGTTGCGGTGACTGAAAATTAAATTCAATTAAGTGTTCAGTCTATTGATTATTTGTTGTTTAAATAATAATTTTCTTTGGAATGGCTGAAAGTATTTAATTTATGTTAGTATTATTTAAATTTGATAAAGAAAAAATTTGAAATTATCATTTGCCAAAAAGAAAAAAAAGGATATCACGGATACATTGAGAACCATGCAATAGATTTCTCAACACATTTTTCAGTGAATTTACATTCGATCTTATTTATTACATCGCAATATATGAAATAGCACATCTTACTGTAATCATTTTGCTTAGCTTATCACCATTGATTGTCATTCATAAACTGGTACCAATCAAGCTATTCTATTGTTGTTTGACGATTTGGCTACAAGTTTCAATTTTACCTGCAAATAATAAATGTTGATTATTATTTCATTTTGCTCAGATTGTGTCGTCACAAATTTTAAAATTAAAATAGTAAAAATTTAGTTTACACACTTTATTTAAACAATACTAAAGATAACTGATATGTTTCGTATATTACCGATTGTTGACGCTTTCCACTTTTGGTTTAACATCTTATTTGTTTATCAAATTATATTTGTATAAATTATTAACTTTTGATTTTAAATGATTAAATTATGATCAAAAAAATAAAATAAATAAAAAATTCGAAAATCTGCCAGACACCGAATCTTCTATGTTTCTAATTTAGACGTTTTCCCAAAATGACAGAAGTTTAATAAAACCCATGACGCCGAAGCCTATATTCGAAGCCATGCGTCTCGGGTCCGTAAAGAAGGCGCATTTTTAACAGAACACAATGGGTAGAGAACTAAATTACTTATTATTTTACGTTACAAAAAGCACAAGCGTCTTGAAGAAGCGTTCAAGCAGACATATAGTGCTGGTATTGGACAAAGCAGTTGTTGATGCTACCATAAAGATGTTTGTTTACGTCATAGAAATGTCTCGATGTTGTAGGCCTATTGGCAAAGCGTGATTCGCCACACTTTTAAAATTTTTCCTATAATCTGTTTCTGAGATGTTTAAGTGAATTTCCCATACAGGGAATACCGTAAGCTGTTCCGTAGGTCACATTTAAGACTCGACCACCACCATGATAGACCCGAACTCACTTTGATTTTTCGTGTGTCCCCAGATTCCAAAAACACCAGGTCCAGGTCTTACCATGAGTACTACGGTAATAGATTCTTCCCTATATGGAAAATTCACTAAAAAAACTATCAATTTAAAATTCCCGCGTTAATCTTGCGGATAATAAACAACTGTTTTAGTTTGATTGTTTAGGGGGAATTTTGATTTAATTCGGTAAATTTATTTATTTCATACTAAGTTATTAACATTTAACAAAAACATACTTTATGTGTTTCCTTGCAGCAGCAAACCTAAGTACTCACTAAACCTGTCATTTTATTTAAAAGGGAAATACATCTAACAAGCTGGCATATTTCAGCTGAAATTCGATTAGGAAAATGAAAATTCGCTTAGTCGGCAGAACGGCAGGTTTGTTTTGGCGGGGGTATTTTTTATTTAAAATCTTCATTCCATTCCATTTCACAATTGATTTAATTAGAACACCTAATAAGGTTCGAAACCTCAGAAAACATATTATGGTTGTGCATTTTTCCCATAATGAAACTTTATTTAGAATTCTGTAATAAAACATTTTTTCCTTTTACTAGGCCTACCTAGTCTTAATTCCTGACGAATGACTAATGTCTTAAAACAATTTATTCATACTAGAAATAATCAAAGAGCCCTAATTTTGTTTGGTAGTAATTAATACAATACATGGCAATCTGTGAAAACGTATCACGACGTAACCATGTATTAAACATATGAAATTGCAATTGGTAATTTCTATAATTTGTTACTTTATTGAACAATAGGCTATAAATTATTTTAATATAGACAATTTTGATTATTATTGTGAGCTTGCCACATTTTAAAGCAAATACATTTTTCCAGATACAAGTTACAAGTATAACACATTGATCTCAGTGATTTATCTAGTGTTGTTTTACATAAATCGCTGTCTAGACAGTTTTGAATGTTATGGATGACGATCAGCAGTCCATTGTCTTGTGTGCTCTGTTGTGTGTACAAGATGCTGCTGACCTTAGGCCGACACATCACTGTATCCAGGAACTAATCTCACTGGTCCGATTAAATCTTATCTTGTTTTGTTTAAAATTTGACTGTATCGCTAAATCCGTCCTATATTCAAACTTCAAAAGTCCTTTACATTTGTATTCACTACTATTAGATATAGATAAGACTACTTATTTAGCTTGAAAGTCAGAAATGTCCAAAGCCGTTGTTTGCCCATCACGCTCTCAGTTTATACTTTATAAACAAAGGTATACTTTGGAAGAGTTCATTTCGTTTTATTGTATATGCATATTGTGTAAATTGTACCTGTACTGGTTTCACGATAGCTAGCAAAATATACTCACAATACACGTACGTCAAGTTGTATGCAGTATGTTCAGTATATGGTTGCTCAATGCTCACACATTACATAATTTATTAGCTTCACTTGAGCAACATAACATCAGTTTAGTTTACAACGGTTTAAGTGGTGAGTTTTAAAGCAAGTGAAGACTTTCTACTTCGAGCGTCAACTACGCGCTCAGACAATTAACACCAACGTCAAATAAATAACGTCATAACTGTCATAGTTTACGCTTACAGCCATTATGTTTTTCAAAACTCTGGACTCAACTAGTACAGATCCGCATCACGGGGAAAAAGAATATTGGAGATATTCATTAAATAAGCTAATTAACAGTGTAATTGTTTTCATTACACAACCGCAGGACAGGTTGAAGACTAATATCCTGCAGCCGTGGCTGTACTGTTATGTTATGTTGCAGATGGTCCAATTCAAACAATAATTAGCTCAAGTCTTAGTGAGGGAAGGGACAGGAATTAATGAATGTAATGAACGCCGAGGGTATGCGGGATAGGCCTGACAATGCTGCTGCTACCAAAACTGATCTTCACAAGCGAACTGAACTTTCAATTCAAATGGGGGTAATTCAAAATACAGATCAACAATAACAGTTATTGTTAACCCACTTACACAAGTTTTGTAAACGTGGCAAGTAGATAATTAGGATTTCTCCAGTTTAATTAGATTTAGGACAAAAATAAAACAGAGCCCAAACTGATTGGCAATTGATTAGGGTTTTTATAATTTCAATAGACTAGACTCAATATGACTTCAATAGACTCTTAAATCAATAGAATAATTTCAATAGTTAGTTGATCGGCTTTACTTTATTCACCCGCAGATGATCCGCAAAATAATTTTTGCACATTTTATTTGGGTGTTGTCAGAAGGTTCCATTTCCATAATAATTGTGTATTTGTAATTTTTATTAAAATACTTAAAATTGTATTTGTGCTATTTTTTGGAAAATAATTTTGATTTGTGCCACCCACTTAACAAAAATCCAAGTTTTAGCGAATTTTCTTGGAAAGTAGTTATTGCCGTAGGTGTCACGGTAAGACCTAGACACAGGAACCACATAATTTTTTCATTTTGAAGTCCCCAGACGACAAAAACATTATTCGTTCAAATTTCTAATTTCGGTTTTTTTTGCCGTGAAAGCGAAAAAAAATATATATTTTTTTCGGGTTGTAATGAAATTTGGCTTGAAGATGTAGGGCGGGGTAAACTTAAACGAGTTCGCGAACTAGCATGATCAAACTATAGGAACGTGGTTTTATGGGGTGAAAATTGTTTTTTTCAATATTTCCCAAGTTATCTTCAACAATTTTTAAAGAACTTAAAACAACAAATAATTTAGTTTATTGAAGTGTTTTTTTTACGGATATTGGTTACAGAAAAAATAAAAAATGTAAATTTATAATTGCCATGCTTTATGGAGAATAAATAATTTTTTAAGTTTGCTTGTTTGTGGATGTATTTTTCATCAAACTTAGCAAATTTATTTACTTAATACAAAGCTATTACTATGCTACTAAAAAAACGAACTCACTTTATTACCCTCCCTGTAGCAGCAAAACCTATGTACTTGTTACAACAAATGTTATTGAAATCGATTTAACTGAAATTCCGAATTGGCTTAGTCTGCAGGTTTGCTACCGAGAGGGTATTTAACATTTGGCATGTATTAGATTGTTTTATCCAAAGGGTTCAACTAATTTCTAAAAGCTTTCTTTCCATAGTCTAAATGTGTATGTTAGTATGGCAAGGAAGGTACTCTTTTTTGTGTTTGTTGATTATCTTTGTTTGAGGGATACTACGTGTTGTTGTTAGAGTCTGGGTCTACGTATGATGATGGTAGAGTTCCCCGTGGAGCGTGCCTTTACTCAGCTGATAGCCGAGGCTACGACAGGCTGGAGACACATACACTGTCTCAGGTTGTTGACTGTGTGTTGTTTTTCAGTCTGGGTCTACGTATAATGATGGTAGAGTTCCCCGTGGAGCGTGCCTTTACTCAGCTGATAGCCGAGGCTACGACAGGCTGGTGACACATACACTGTCTCAGGTTGTTGACCGTGTGTTGTTGTTGCAGTCTGGGTCTACGTATGATGATGGGAGAGTTCCCCGTGGAGCGTGCCTTTACTCAGCTGATAGCCGAGGCTACGAGAGGCTGGAGACACATAGACTGTCTCAGGTTGTTGACCGTGTGTTGTTGTTGCAGTCTGGGTCTACGTATGATGATGGGAGAGTTCCCCGTGGAGAGTGCCTTTACTCAGCTGATAGCCGAGGCTACGAGAGGCTGGAGACACATACACTGTCTCAGGTTGTTGACTGTGTGTTGTTGTTACAGTCTGGGTCTACGTATGATGATTGGAGAGTTCCCCGTGGAGAGTGCCTTTACTCAGCTGATAGCCGAGGCTACGAGAGGCTGGAGACACATAGACTGTCTCAGGTTGTTGACTGTGTGTTGTTGTTGCAGTCTGGGTCTACGTATGATGATGGGAGAGTTCCCCGTGGAGAGTGCCTTTACTCAGCTGATAGCCGAGGCTACGACAGGCTGGAGACACATAGACTGTCTCAGGTTGTTGACTGTGTGTTGTTGTTACAGTCTGGGTCTACGTATGATGATGGGAGAGTTCCCCGTGGAGAGTGCCTTTACTCAGCTGATAGCCGAGGCTACGACAGGCTGGAGACACATACACTGTCTCAGGTTGTTGACTGTGTGTTGTTGTTACAGTCTGGGTCTACGTATGATGATTGGAGAGTTCCCCGTGGAGCGTGCCTTTACTCAGCTGATAGCCGAGGCTACGACAGGCTGGAGACACATAGACTGTCTCAGGTTGTTGACTGTGTGTTGTTGTTACAGTCTGGGTCTACGTATGATGATGGGAGAGTTCCCCGTGGACAGTGCCTTTACTCAGCTGATAGCCGAGGCTACGAGAGGCTGGAGACACATAGACTGTCTCAGGTTGTTGACTGTGTGTTGTTGTTGCAGTCTGGGTCTACGTATGATGATGGGAGAGTTCCCCGTGGAGCGTGCCTTTACTCAGCTGATAGCCGAGGCTACACAGGCTGGAGACACATACACTGTCTCAGGTTGTTGACCGTGTGTTGTTGTTGCAGTCTGGGTCTACGTATGATGATGGTAGAGTTCCCCGTGGAGAGTGCCTTTACTCAGCTGATAGCCGAGGCTACGACAGGCTGGAGACACATACACTGTCTCAGGTTGTTGACCGTGTGTTGTTGTTGCAGTCTGGGTCTACGTATGATGATGGGAGAGTTCCCCGTGGAGCGTGCCTTTACTCAGCTGATAGCCGAGGCTACGACAGGCTGGAGACACATAGACTGTCTCAGGTTGTTGACTGTGTGTTGTTGTTGCAGTCTGGGTCTACGTATGATGATGGGAGAGTTCCCCGTGGAGCGTGCCTTTACTCAGCTGATATCCGAGGCTACGACAGGCTGGTGACACATACACTGTCTCAGGTTGTTGACCGTGTGTTGTTGTTGCAGTCTGGGTCTACGTATGATGATGGGAGAGTTCCCCGTGGAGCGTGCCTTTACTCAGCTGATAGCCGAGGCTACGACAGGCTGGAGACACATACACTGTCTCAGGTTGTTGACTGTGTGTTGTTGTTGCAGTCTGGGTCTACGTATGATGATGGGAGGGTTCCCCGTGGAGCGTGCCTTTACTCAGCTGATAGCCGAGGCTACGACAGGCTGGAGACACATACACTGTCTCAGGTTGTTGACTGTGTGTTGTTGTTACAGTCTGGGTCTACGTATGATGATGGGAGAGTTCCCCGTGGAGCGTGCCTTTACTCAGCTGATAGCCGAGGCTACGACAGGCTGGAGACACATAGACTGTCTCAGGTTGTTGACCGTGTGTTGTTGTTGCAGTCTGGGTCTACGTATGATGATGGGAGAGTTCCCCGTGGAGCGTGCCTTTACTCAGCTGATAGCCGAGGCTACGACAGGCTGGAGACACATACACTGTCTCAGGTTGTTGACCGTGTGTTGTTGTTGCAGTCTGGGTCTACGTATGATGATGGGAGAGTTCCCCGTGGAACGTGCCTTTACTCAGCTGATAGCCGAGACTACGACAGGCTGGAGACACATAGACTGTCTCAGGTTGTTGACTGTGTGTTGTTGTTGCAGTCTGGGTCTACGTATGACGATGGGAGGGTTCCCCGTGGAACGTGCCTTTACTCAGCTGATAGCAGAGGCTACGACAGGCTGGAGACACATACACTGTCTCAGGTTGTTGACTGTGTGTTGTTGTTACAGTCTGGGTCTACGTATGATGATGGGAGGGTTCCCCGTGGAGCGTGCCTTTACTCAACTGATAGCCGAGGCTACGACAGGCTGGAGACACATACACTGTCTCAGGTGGTTGACTGTGTGTTGTTGTTACAGTCTGGGTCTACGTATGATGATGGGAGAGTTCCCCGTGGAGCGTGCCTTTACTCAGCTGATAGCCGAGGCTACGACAGGCTGGAGACACATACACTGTCTCAGGTTGTTGACTGTGTGTTGTTGTTACAGTCTGGGTCTACGTATGGTGATGGGAGAGTTCCCCGTGGAGCGTGCCTTTACTCAGCTGATAGCCGAGGCTACGACAGGCTTGAGACACATAGACTGTCTCAGGTTGTTGACTGTGTGTTGTTGTTGCAGTCTGGGTCTACGTATGATGATGGGAGGGTTCCCCGTGGAGCGTGCCTTTACTCAGCTGATAGCCGAGGCTACGACAGGCTGGAGACACATACACTGTCTCAGGTTGTTGACTGTGTGTTGTTGTTACAGTCTGGGTCTACGTATGATGATGGGAGGGTTCCCCGTGGAGCGTGCCTTTACTCAGCTGATAGCCGAGGCTACGACAGGCTGGAGACACATACACTGTCTCAGGTTGTTGACTGTGTGTTGTTGTTACAGTCTGGGTCTACGTATGATGATGGGAGAGTTCCCCGTGGAGCGTGCCTTTACTCAGCTGATAGCCGAGGCTACGACAGGCTGGAGACACATAGACTGTCTCAGGTTGTTGACTGTGTGTTGTTTGTTGCAGTCTGGGTCTACGTATGATGATGGGAGGGTTCCCCGTGGAGCGTGCCTTTACTCAGCTGATAGCCGAGGCTACGACAGGCTGGAGACACATACACTGTCTCAGGTTGTTGACTGTGTGTTGTTGTTACAGTCTGGGTCTACGTATGATGATGGGAGAGTTCCCAGTGGAGCGTGCCTTTACTCAGCTGATAGCCGAGGCTACGACAGGCTGGAGACACATAGACTGTCTCAGGTTGTTGACTGTGTGTTGTTGTTACAGTCTGGGTCTACGTATGATGATGGGAGAGTTCCCCGTGGAACTTGCCTTTACTCAGCTGATAGCCGAGGCTACGACAGGCTGGAGACACATACACTGTCTCAGGTTGTTGACTGTGTGTTGTTGTTACAGTCTGGGTCTACGTATGATGATTGGAGAGTTCCCTGTGGAGCGTGCCTTTACTCAGCTGATAGCCGAGGCTACGACAGGCTGGAGACACATAGACTGTCTCACGTTGTTGACTGTGTGTTGTTGTTACAGTCTGGGTCTACGTATGATGATGGGAGAGTTCCCCGTGGAACGTGCCTTTACTCAGCTGATAGCCGAGGCTACGACAGGCTGGAGACACATAGACTTTCCCAGGTTGTTGACTGTGTGTTGTTATTGCAGTCTGGGTCTACGTATGATGATGGGAGAGTTCCCCGTGGAGCGTGCCTTTACTCAGCTGATAGCCGAGGCTACGACAGGCTGGAGACACATAGACTGTCTCAGGTTGTTGACTGTGTGTTGTTGTTACAGTCTGGGTCTACGTATGATGATGGGAGAGTTCCCCGTGGAGCGTGCCTTTACTCAGCTGATAGCCGAGGCTACGACAGGCTGGAGACACATAGACTGTCTCAGGTTGTTTCCCAGGTCAGTACTAATCTGCACTATTAACTTTATGACATTGGCTTTTGGATACTGTTTTTTGGATAGACATATCTACAGTATATGGACTGTGAATAATGCACCCAGAGAACATGGTTCTGCACCCCAGCGTTTTGTGCTATTTAAGATTTTTTAAATCTGTATGTAAAAACTCATTGATTGTCATATTGTAATTTATACACCCATTTTAATTACAAGGTCATTAAATAAATTTCCAGCGTACGGGTTGTATTAGAAAACTTTTTTTAGGGCGACTTCAATAATTTAGAAGAACATGCATAATTAATGCATTTACATTATAATTATTAATGCATTATAGGTGCATTATGCAGCGTAGAGTAAGTTGTTACATTATAACACGAAAAAATAAGTATAGGGTTATTAGAGTAATAGAGCTATTCCATTATTTAAATAGTTTACGTATTTAAATAGATATATGTCAAAAGTTCGCAAATAGCTTATACGAGGCATGTTTTTTAAGTTAGTACCGTTTTTAATTTTCTCCGTTCCAGCACTGCGATTGGCATTTTTGACATTTGGGCTGTGTATAGGCTTCTATTGGTAAGAGCTAGCCGGAAATTCGAGAACAATCGGCCGTGTTTACATCCGGTTTCGAGCATTCAAAATGGTGCCGCAAATTGATACTGCCGCCGACTGTGAAGTGAGCGCTGTAATTAGATTTTTAAGAGCTAAAGGTGTAAAAGCTATTGAATATCATCGACAGATTAGTGAAATGTATGGCGAGAACTTTATGAGTGACTGAATGGTGTGCAAGTAGGTAAGGACATTTTAAGACGGCCCCACCAACGTTCATGATGATCGCACTGGTTGTCATCATGAGTACGGGGACAGTAATGACGCCGATCAGTGCGTTACTCATCATGAACGTTTTTTGGGCCGTCCTGTATTTAAATGCCCTTATCCACTTGCATACAATTATGACACTCATAATATTCTCGCCATAAACTTCACTAATCTATGATTTTCAATGGCTTTCACACCGTAAGCACTAAAAAATCGAATTACAGCGTGCACTTCACAGTCGGCGGCAGTCTCAATTTGCGGAACCATTTTGAATGCTCGAAACCGGATGTAAACACGGCCAATTTTTCTCGAATTTCCGGCTATGTCTTACCAATAGATGCACATACACAGCGCAAATGTCGAAAATGCCAATCGCAGTGCTGGAACGGAAAAATTTAAAAACGGTACTTACTTAAAAAACATGCTAGTAGGTTGTGAAAAATACGTATTGTCCACTTAAAAATAAATATTAAAGTAGTTTCTTTAGTTTTAAAGTTTATAATTAGAAACATTAGTGAGTGAGCATTCCTCTAAACGTCGAAGTTCATTTGATAGTTAAAATCAGTCATATACAAAACTAACTTATTGTTTTGTGACAGCTCAGCTAATTAATGGGTTAGAGAGATGATTTTTGCGTTGAATGGTTCCTTAATTAATAGGATTTGTTCTGATTATAAGTTGTTCAAACTATTCAACTTGTCTAATGGATGTAACATACAAGTAAATAATGTGTGAAATCAATGCAATGTTTGTTTTGCGGGTGTGAACAATTACAGTTTATATAAAACCCAAAAAAAGTATTTAGGTAGCTAAAGGAATATGCCATCCCTCATATGATGTCCACCGACAACGAAGCTTGTTTCCAATGGTTTTTTTTAACTCGCCATCCCCCGGTTGCAGCCGGGTTGCAGCTCCCCGGTCCCCAGTCCTATCGCCTTGTGATTTCTATTTGTGAGGCTACTTGAAGAGCAAGGTTTTCGCAACGAAACCCCAAACTATTGCAGATCTGAAGATCAGTATACGTAAGAAATTGCCGCAATACCAATGCCCATGATACGACAGGTGATTGCATGTTTCCAAAAAAGATTGAAAACATGCTTGGATGTCGGTGGACATCATAATATGAGGGATGTCATATTCCATAAGTAAAAATGGTTTAGCTATGCAAATATTTCTTTGAGTTTAAATAAACTGTAATCGATTGTTATTTTACACAGCGTTGTTTTATTTATTACATAACAAACATTGCAAGATTTCGCACATTACGGTATTTACTTTTGATGCTACATCCATTAGACAAGTTGAATAGTTTGAACAAATTATAATTACAACAAATGCAATTTATCTATCTATATATTAATAGGCAAGCATGTTTCTTTAAACACTTTTTTCTCAGCTCGTGTGCGTAGCAGGGAAAATCTAAGCATACCTTTAGAAAGATATTTTCCTGTAGAAGTGCAGACTCCCTTTAAAAATTAAAATAGGCTCAAATATAAGCACAAAAAATGAATTTGAAATTTTAAACATTTAACATGGGCTTGATGGGTTGCCATGCTGGTGACAAAATAACAACGAAATATAAACAGAAAATTAAAACAAATGGAAGAAATTCAAATCACAGGTTTTATTTACAGTGTGGGGTGAAAATAGAGAAGCCTGAACCTTTACATTCCATCCCCATGTTAAAGTTGTCACCAGTTTTTTAAATTAAATTCGTAGTAGTTTATGTGAGCCACCAACAGACTGCGCTGATCTAAATGACTACATTTCTGTCCAATACACGATGGTTTTTACCATCATTTTAGTCAAACTGTTTGAATGAGATATAGGAACTGTTATGACCCATCACCTTTGTCAGCAACAAAAAATAAGGTATAAAATAAAATTTAAGACACTTTCTGTGAATGGCTCACACAACTACGTCATGTTTTTAATAAAAAAGAAATAAAAAAATGGTGACAGCTGGTCCATATAGATGGGAAGTCTACCTCAGTATCCAATATTCAATACGTTACATGTTTTTGGTCGAGTTTTCGACCACTGGACGACCATTAGTACAAATTAATTAAGGAACAATTCAACGCAAAAATCATCTCTCTAACCCATGAATTTGCTGAGCTGTCACAAAACAAAATGTTAGCGGTTATTATGGAGCACCCGTATAGTAGCAATTGTGATGAAGATAACTTCAATGTCAGTTTAATTTGTAATCATGTAGTTAAACGTGTCGCATTTGGTCTACATAGCTGAGCCTTTATTGTTTACATACGTGCAGTCAGTGAGTTACACCCTGGTCCATAACAGAGATACGTGAGTGTGCCAGGTGCATTATCTGGCCCCTTGTTATCATACTGATGCCCGCTGTGACGCTGTATGTGGAACCAAACGTCTCATCTCGTCTCCGTTACCCTCGTATTTAGCAGTGTCGTCACGCAGTACTGTACTGACTACAGACTACAGTGTGTGCCATAAACACACTGACACGTTCACGCTTCACGATCACATCACTTCCCATCACTTTCCAAACGTGGACTAATTGTTACATCGAAAAAACAAACTGTGCGAGAACCAGTCACACGGCCCCCTCTGTCGACGATCTTCGATGTTTGTCAATGAATATACTGTATATGGTGGTTTACCTTACCTTTACTTTCGACTCAGTTCAAATCCATCTGTTCGCCTTCTTTACGTTAGTAAAGAATAACTAGATTTGGATTGAAACGAAAGTAAAGGTAAACTAAACCACTCTCTTACCAGTTCAGGGGCAGTTACGACAGTAAATAAAATCGATGGTTGAATGAATAATTGATTCATTAAAATATTGTTTTTGGAAACTGATTTAATCATACATATGAATTGGAATTTAAATATTAACTGGATGACTGTTGTTCTTATTCATGACTCTTATTCTATCTGGAGGATTGCACTGGCACGAAAACTCTGCCAGAAAATCGCCACTCTGTAAATCTTTGTAATACCCAAAGTTAAAAACTTAGAGCTTTTAAATTGACAATTGTTTAAATATTCCGTGAATTTGGTTACAAGATGAGTTGAACTAATCCTAATCTACATTTGATAAAAAACTATTTACAATTTCGGATGAATAGCAGTTAGTTTGATTTTTATCCCTTCCTTTCAAAAACGTTGTTTATTTATTTCCATTGTATATATCTACGCTAGTGGCATTTTTAAACATTTTTTGTAGGGGAACGGTCCAAACTAGGTTTTGTTACTATCTAAGTATCCAACGTCAACCTTATACCTTTAAGCATTATTTATTGATCGCACAGTGACAAATAACATCTGTATCCGCTAACAGGTAACGATCTCGCTTGGAATCAAACCAGCGACCTTAAGATTATAAAGAGGGGACTATAACTATTCGGCTACCCAGACAGTGTTATAACGTACATTCAACTACCTTGCACTATACATGGGCAAATATGTGCATCAGCCTGCATTGTCGCATAGAGACTAACCTTGTTGTTTGGACCATCGAGGTAGACTTCTGGAGTGATCGCGCCCGTGTTGAAGCGAACCGTTTTTCGGTCCGGCCGCGAGTAGCTGTGAGCAGCCCGTGGTAGGCAAGAACGCCAGCGCTAAGATGGGCGGGATAGGGAAAATCGCGACGCGCGCCTACTTTTATTTTGTTTCCAGACGACATGATTTTTTTTAGGACAAATGAACGATTGAATTGTATTCTCTAATAGATTGTGGTTCTTTCGGAATTAATTTCATTCTTACTTTCACATCAGGTATATTTTTAAAACACGATTAACTTCAACTTTTAGTGTAATTTTCTTGTCAGTGACATGTTTTATTTTATTTTATTAAAAACAAATTGGAATATTTCCCTAACACATTTGTATAATATTTTTAAACATTTTTTGGCTTTTGAAATAAATTTGGATAGAGGGTCATAACAGTCCAATTACTGTAATAATTAGAGATTGGTCTCATGTTTATAAATTAAAATGAAATAAAAGGCAATAAGAACACTTTCAACGAATCAAAATAATTTATTATTATTAAATATAGGCTACATTATCTATTTGAACTCAAATAAGATAAAAAACATTATATACAAACATTAACACCTTAATAACATTTATGTCTAGATTTTTAGATCTTAAATCCTAAACATTTCTAAACAAAATCAGTTTGGTTAATTTTTGTCTTAA